CGCAGGGCCGTGGTGTTGTGGAATGGCAGTGGAGGATGAAAGGCAGGCACGGGGTGCCAGGTACGATGGAGGGCACCTCGGATGGCGTCTCGGACAAGAAGCTGACCCCCAGCGTGTGTCAATGTCTCCGCAGCGTATGTTCCCGATGGTTACTACGACTACCTGACCCTGTCAGGCGACGAGCACATCAGGCGGCTGACGGAGAGGGCGAAGGAGAGCAGGGAGACGCTGTCGCACGCTGAGGTCACTGTCACGTCGGGGGACTTGGGGGTGGGGCGGGGCAATATTTCTTCTCCTCTGCTTTTCTGTTCACCCCTCCTGGAGCCGGTGCAGAGTTCACTGCCACATGTGTGACATCTTCCTTGACTGATGCAGAGTCCTGCTGTATCATAGCCTGTTAATCAGGAAACAACTTCACCACAACATGAATCACAAAGAGAAATGGACACAAACTCATCTGAATCTGATCTAAAATGACCTTCTGTATCCTCTGGGGCCTGATGTAGATGTTAATGGAGAAGACTTATACTTTTAACAGGTGGTGCTGATGGAAAAATTGTATAGGGCGTCTATTTGTGGAAGAGTTGCAATTTCTGCCTTCCGTCAGTATTGCTGTTGATCGAAAATCCTGCAGAATGCTGTCAGCTTTGCACTTGTTATACTTTCCCTTTCGCAAAAAAGTTACCTCCTCCTCTTTCTCTGTTCCTCAGAAACCCCAGCTGCTAAGCGATGGGTGCTGTGTGATTAATAGCATCCTGGAAGGAGAGGTCAGCGTGGGGTCGCAGGCTGTGGTGCAACACTGCCACCTGCAGGTAAGGGGTGGGGACGCTATGTGGTGAAGCTGAGCACTCAGCTGGTCTTCCTCTCTGACATCAGCAGGCAGGAGAGGAAAAGTCTGTTCTTTTTCCAGAGGGCGGGCCAGAGCCTAACGCAGCAGCCAGTGGTCTTGAGATAAGCTCTGTCCTGGACACATACGTTTGCAAACACATGCATGACAGACAGGTTGTTAGATTAAATTTTTAGGTTTTTTTTTGCATCCACAGATATTCTGCTGTGTATTAGAAGGTACATGCAGCAACAGGTGCTGTTGCCCTCAGTTCTCTGGGTCACACTGATGGGTGCTGGTCACTCTCAGCTGATTGCTTCTATAGCAAAGATTTGACCATCGTGTTGACCATTGTGTAGCTGGACAGATCACTGGCCTCTGTCCTTACACTGTTACTTGATGCTTATCTGATCAAAAATATTTTTTCTTAATTCAGTTAATTGTTCTTTCTGATCCTTCACAAAATGAGCCTATAGGCAAAATTGCAACACCCTCGTTTACTTTGACCTCTGACCCATAGGGCCCTCTAGTGGTTCAGTCTGGATGCCTCCTGTCAGGGATCGACCTGACCTCATCATCTTCCGCCCTGAAACATCTCACCCTCTCTGACATCATCATCCAGGGACACTGCATCCGCCTGGGCGACATGGCTCTCCGAGTCTTCACTGTCCTCGGGCGCCATGACAACCTTGAGGTAATGTCACTTGCAGTACAAAGTATGAAACTGTTTCAGGATAGTGGGGTGCACAGCAGAGATCACTAATCTGGCTAATCCTTGATTTGGTTCATTCTTGTTTTCATTTTAACAATTACTCTAATAATAATCATTAATAATTGCTTACACTTATATAGAACTTTTCTGGACACTCCACTCAAAGTGCTTTACAGGTAATGGGGATCCCCTTCACCACCACCAGTGTACAGCCCCACCTGGATGATGCGCCAGTCTGCTCTCCACACACCAGCTCTCAGTGGGGAGGAGAACAGAGTGATGAAGTCAGTTCAAAGATGGGGATTATAAGGAGGCCCCCCTACTCTTTTTGAGAGAATTTTTAATTACCAGATTTAGGACCTTGGTTTTATGTCTCATCCGAAAGATGGTGCCTTTTTACAGTATAGTGTCCCCGTCACTATACTGGGGCATTAGGACCCACATGGACCGCAGGGTGTCGGTTTTTCCCAGGAGGTCTCCCATCCAGGTACTGACCAGGCTCACACCTGCTGAGCTTCAGTGGGCTGCCAGGCGTGAGTTGCAGGGTGATATGGCTGCTGGTGATATAAGCCACTCTTCCAGAAAACTCTTCCAAGGTCCACTTTTTAGTTTATCTTTTTATCTGTAAAGTACGTCATTGCTGCCATCAAGGAAAAAACAATTTCCTCAGTTATTTCGTAATTATGAGATAGCAGATTATCTCATAATTGAGATAGCAGATCATTTCAGTGTATGAACATCCTGTTATTTTGTTCATACACTAAAATGCACTATCTCGGAATTCTGAGATAATTGGGATAATTCTGAGAAAATCTCATAATTACGAATTAAATCGAATTTTTATGAATTACAATTTTTTTTCCCTTGATGGCAGCAATGTGCTTCCATAGTAAAGCGAGTCTGCTTTTTGCTAATGATCTGGTGTTTTGAGGCCTTGTTGTGACTTAAGACAAAAATGATTCTCGTGGCCTCTTGTGAAAATGCCCAATAAATCATTTAGGATAAAAAAAACCTGAGACCGGTCATCTCTATACTCTGTTGGCACCTTCTTTTCTGACCACCCCATCATCCCATTAGGTGCTGACCACCTAATCTGCACAACCTTCTTGTTCACAGCTCCCTTGACCACATCATCCACACCGGGCACTTTCCCCTGCAACACAACCCGCTGCATCACCTGTAAATATATATCCAAGGCCCCTCTGGACAATTCCCGATCACCCAGATGACATCATGTATTTCCAGCAACCTTATTTACTGCATCTTTTACAGTTATTTACATTGGTGAAACAGGAAAGAGATTGAGAGATGGTTTTAGGGTACATGTCAGAGCTGTGAGGATCAAAGATCTCTCCATATCCATAGTTTCCCATTTCACCTCTAGATAAAATAAGATAAGATCACTTTATTAGCCCTATACAATTTCTTGTATTTACGAATTTGTCTTTTTCGCATACCCCAACCTGCTCTCCATGAGACACACAGACAGGGAGAGAAGCTGGGGGTCAGAGGGTCAGGGTCTGCCATTTATACGGCGCCCCTGGAGCAGTTGGGGTGAAGGGCCTTGCTCAGGGGCCCAACGGAGTAGGATTCCTCTACCAGCCGTGGGATACGAACCAGCAACCTTCCAGCCACAGGCGCAGATCCTGAGCCAAAGAGCCACCGCCCTGATTTAACAGCCAGTGGCGGATTAAGGTGATCAGAGGCCCCTAGGCTACACATTGTGACATTGTGTTGTCTTTCTGGTTGGAGTGGTGGCTCTGTGGCTCAGGATCTGCGCCTGTGACTGGAAGGTTGCTGATTCAAATCCCACGGCTGGTAGAGGAATCCTACTCCGTTGGGCCCCTGAGCAAGGCCCTTAACCCCAACAGCTCCAGGGGTGCTGTATAAATGGCTGACCCTGCGCTCTGACCCCAAGCTTCTCTCCCTGTCTGTGTGTCTCATGGAGAGCAAGCTGGGGTATGTGAAAAGACAAATTCCTCATCCAAGAAATTGTACGTGGCCAATAAAGTGATCATGTCTTATCTTTCCAATGCTGCAACCTCCGCATCTTGGTTTTGACATGAATTCGGGACCAATGTAGCCCAGTATGGCCGCATCTGTTCACCTATTTCACCCCAGCAAGCTGGGTCCGAGCTATAGGAAGCAGGAGCTCCACAGCAGCAGGTGCACCAGCCATGGCGGCGGCTCGGACACGCTGGCTCGTTGGTCTTGTGGAGATAGAGGCAGAGCCATCTGAAACGCCACTCATGTTCCTTCGATTCCGTTGCGGGAGCTGCTCGTCCTCGTGCGTCGAGATCGACGGCGCCCAGGCTTGAGCTAGCTGCACCTAACTTTTCAAGTAGCCCTGGCTGCGACATTAGCCATAAACGCAGGATCGGGGTCCGGCTCGGCAAGCTTGAAATAACCAGTCAATCTGGGGATCTTTTTAAGTAGGTCCTGCTCACGCGGCTCTTTTAACCACTGTGCTTTTCATCTCTGCGCCCCGCTATCATATTTTCTATCGCACATTTTGAGGCTGGCTACCGTCAGCTTGCACCAGAGATCAACCGATGAATCCACCAAAATAAGTTTGAACTGCGAACCCATTGGATCTAACCAATCATTGGTCTACAAATTATTCAACGTTTTTATGGACCAATGGGGGCCCACAGGTCCGTTAAAAAAAAAATACCCTGGCCAATCAGGGCTACAGCCTGTGCTAGCCTGTTCGTTAATCCGCCCCTGCTGACAGCCATGATCATACTGATCTCTCTCTCTGCATCCCCACAGATGGGTTTCGGACCTCCTGTTGCATCACACCTTCTCCCTTCGCTCAACGACAGACCCATCTCCTTCTGATCCTCTCTATTCCTTTGCAGGCTTCACACCTCTCCCCCAGTTCTCCCTGAGTGTCGATCCTCCTCCCCTGCTCCCTGCCTCCTCTTCACTACTCTGTCTTTTGTTCTCCCATGCTTCATTAACCCTCACACCTGAAGAAGACTCCACAGCCGAAAGGTTGTGTCTCTTTTCTTTTCCTTTCAGCATGGAATAAACTTTTACCTGGTCCTTTGTAGCCTATGCCTGCCTAGGATTCCCACAGATTCCTTGAGGTTCGGGACACTCACTCTGCTCTGTCCCTGCTCTCTCACCAGGCCTCTCCTGCTGACCGGAACGCCACATTCCTCAACCGCAGCTGGACGGAATTCTACCAGAGAACCGGGATACAGTAGGGCACCTCTATGCCTGCTCCCTCTTTCACCCCACTCTCTAATCTTCACTTCCTGTGCACATGTCTTGCTCTGGAGTGCAAATGTGCTGCAGGGGGATGCTTCACAGTAGCTCTGCCAATCTGAGAAGCAGGACATCCAGCTAATTATGAGACTTTGAGCAAAAGTTGTTTTTTCTATTAGTCTCTCAGAACTACACTGTGAATCGGGGGCCTTAGTTTTTCCTTTATCCTCACTTAAATTCAAAGCTGCTGCATTCCACGGGCATCAGAATTGAATTATAGTGGTGCTGAGTGTGTGATGTGTGGTCAACAACCACAGCTCACTCAAGCAGGTCTGTGTTCTGCCACCCTCCTCTCTCACAGGCCCGGGGAGCTCTGGGGTTCAGGGGACCAGGAGGGTGCCCCTCACTCCCTCCTGGATGCCCGCCTGTTCCCCGTCTTCCAGCGCAGGGGGCCTGTCGGTTTGGGGGGGTTGCTGTGGCTGCTGGGGGCCGGAGGAGGGGAGTCACAGTGGAGGGCAGCCTGGCGCCTCTCCCTGCGGGACATTCTGTCCTGTACGGACCAGCAGGCCGAGCTGGGCTGGCGCAGGGAGCTGCTGTATGGGGCCGCAAGGCGGCGGGCCAAGGACACGCTGCAGGGGCGGGGAGACCAGAGCCTGCTGCCGCTCATCAGAGCCGCCGTGCTGGAGGGCCAGCAGGGGGAGCTGCTGAGCACATTGGACAGCGGTGAGCATCTTCAGGGGTCTGTCTGCTGCACTCAGCTGGGGTCGTACACACCTTGATGTGTTTTTTATTCTCCCCTTCCCTGTTCTTCATTTTCTTCCCATCTGCCCTGAACTCTTGCTCCCTGCCAGTGGCGGCGAGCAGTGAGGACCCCGGAATAGCTGCCCGCACCCTTGCCTGCATGGCTGACGTGCTGGGCTGTCTAGCCGGGAGGGAAGGGGGCCTGAGGAGCGGCCCGGCGGCCAATCCCGCCTGGACCTCTGCCTTCGCCATGCTGGAGAGAGGGGACCTGCCGGGAGGAGTCCGTGCGCTGGCCAAGGAGAGGGACAACTGGCTCAGCAGGTGAGGGGGAGGGGTAGGTGGGGGGGGTGTGGTAGGAAGGTAGCAAACAAGCGCACTGAGACTCAGTACGTCCCTCCCTCCTGCCTCCAGACCCCACCTCCTGGTGCGTGCCGCGCGTCACTACGAGGGCGCTGCGCAGGTCCTCATTTGGCAGGCGGTGATGTCGGCGAGACGCTTCATCACCGTTGGGAGGGCAGAGATCCCTCCCCTGGAGCAGTGGGTGGAAGTGGAGTGTCCAGCCAGAATGGACCTGTCAGGTAGGAGGAGAGCACCGGTCTGCTCTGCTCGGTTACATTCCTGGGGTGTGCCCGCAGTCCGCGATCTGCAGAGTGACGCGTTCTCCTCCCCCAGGCGGCTGGAGCGACACCCCCCCCATCACGTTCGAGCGGGGCGGCGCGGTCGTGAACGTGGCGGTGCGCGTGGATGGGCGGCGGCCCATCGGCGTGCGGGCCCGGCGCATCCGGGAGCCCTGCCTGCTCCTGGTCAGCACCAGTGGGGGGCTGGACTGCCAGGTTACCACGGAGACGCTGTGCAAGACGCTGCAGGACCTGCAGGACTACTGCCAGCCCCACGCACCAGGTCAGGCCCTGTCTCCTCCGCGCAGACAGACGGGGGCAGGGATCCCCTTCCAGCCCTGCAGGACTGCCGCCTCCGTCTCACTCCGTTTCCTGTGCACCCACAGGAGCTCTGCTGAAGGCAGCCTGTATCTGCAGTGGCCTGGTCGCTCTCCCCTCCCAGCAGCCTCTGGGAGAGCAGCTGCTGCAGCGCTGTGGAGGGGGGCTGGAGGTCCGCAGCTGGTCAGACCTTCCCCACGGCTCCGGGCTGGGTGAGAGCGAGCAGGGGCAGTGAGAGAGGCGTCGGGTGCGATCGGAGCACTGTGAGAGGGGAGGGGAGATGGCAGAGAGGAGGGAGGTGATCGAGTGTGGTTTTTATGGGTTCTGAGCATAGTGTGGTTGTTGTGTTTTTTTTTTGCTTTTCTAAGTGCAGAAAGTGGAAGAATTTTGTATGTGTTCTTTGGATGGTGTTGTTTTGTTTTTCTAATACTCTCTTCATTGCTGTCAGGTACCAGCAGTATCCTAGCTGGGGCAGTGTTAGCTGCTCTGTACAGCACTACTGGGCAAACTTATGACACCATCTCTCTGATCCACGCTGTCCTGCACCTGGAGCAGATACTGACCACTGGTGAGTAGGGGCAGCATCTCGGTGCCGACTCTGCTACAGGGCACCATGGTACAGATATACAGGATCTGTGCCACAGCTGCAGAAACTGAACATTTGTTTCACCTGTACAGCTACTGTATGTACAGAGACCCTCCTACCAGGCCAATTTCTCCTGCCACGGTCTTGTAGAAATTTGCCGAAACAGCCAACAGTGAAAGATCAGAGTATTGTACCTTAACATGATTCAGTTCAGCAGTTCAGATCACAGGACCACAGATCAGTTCATTTCACAGGATTCTAGTGCTTCCAAGTCACTTAGTTTTATAGCTCAGTGTAGAATATTTGTTAGTATTACAGCACAGGTCTTTCACTGGCCTGGGATGCCTGTCCCCTCTCTCCCTCTCTCCCTCTCTCAGGGGGCGGCTGGCAGGACCAGGTGGGAGGGCTGGTGGGGGGCGTGAAGCTGGGACGGTCCCAAGCTGCCCTGCCCCTCAGGGTGGAGGTGGAGCCCCTCTCCCTGACCGATGACTTCCTCCACACCCTCAACCGGCACGTCCTGCTGCTCTACACGGGCAAGACCCGCCTGGCGCGCAACCTGCTACAGGTGAGGACCGCCGCCCGCAGCACACAATCAGAGCCGGGCTTGGCCAGCGCCTGACTGTCGGTGTGTCCGTGCAGGACGTGGTGCGGAGCTGGTATTCACGGCTGCCTGCCATCGTGGAGAACGTCGAGGGGCTGGTGAGGAACGCAGAGGAATGCGCCCAGGCCATAAGAGACGGTGAGATGGGTGGGGAGGGGGGAAGGCAGAGAGAGAACAGAAGCAGGGATGGAGAAGGGAGGGATAAGAACAGAAAGGAGAGGCTGCTGTCTGTCTGCTGAATCAGCAGTGCTCAGTATCCAGTGTCACACTCCATCTAAGCAGTGAGAGTGCTCTCTTCTCTGCTCTGCAGCCTCAGTGCCTCTGCTGCGCTGGCCTGTATTTGTCCTCCTCTGCCTGCTGTTTAACTCTCTGTCCCTCTGTTTCTCTGTAGTTCTCATTCACATGTGGGTCTCGTCTGACAATATAAGTACTAGTGGAATGTTATAAGCAGCCATATCATCCTGCAGCTCACAAATGGCAGCCCACTGAAGCTCAGCAGTGTGAGCCTGGTCAGTACCTGGATGGGAGACCTCCTGGAAAAACTAAGGTTACTGCTGGAAGAGGTGTTAGTGGGGCCAACAGGGGCGCTTACCCTGCGGTCTGTGTGGGTCCTAATGCCCCAGTATATCAACGGGGGATACTATACAGTAAAAAGGCACCGTCCTTCAGATGAGATGTAAAACTGAGGTCCTGACTCTCGGTGATCATTAAAAAATCCAGGGCGTTTCTCAAAAAGAGTAGGGGTGTAACCCCGGCATCCTGGCCAAATTTCCCTCTGGCCTTTACCAATCATGGCCTCCTAATAATCCCCATTTAAGAATTGACTTCATCACTCTGTTCTCCACCCCACTGAGAGGTGATGTGTGGGGAGCGTACTGGTGCAATATGTCTGTTGTTGAATCATCCAGATGGGGCTGCACACTAGTGGTGGTGGAGGGGAGTTGCATTACATGTAAAGCAATCCAGAAAATGTTCAGAAAAGTGCTATATCAGCATTCGTCTATTTCCTTTTGATTCTCTCTCTATATTCAGGCTCCCTGGCCCGGGTGGGTGCCTGTCTGGACCGGTACTGGCAGCAGAAACGTGCTATGGCACCTGGGTGCGAGCCGGCCACGGTGCGGGCTATGATGTCAGCGCTGAGACCTCTGACCCTGGGGCAGAGCCTGGCGGGGGCAGGGGGAGGCGGTTTCCTGTGCATCATCACCCGGGAGGCGCAGCAGGCGGCGAGGGTGAAGGACGTCCTGGACAGCGTGCAGGTACTCGGCCTCAGCCGACAGCTCAGGCCCTTCTTGCGGTAGCGTTAATTAGGCCAACAGCGAGGGGCGACCTGGTCACTGCCGTTAGACTGAAGTGGGTTTTTGCTGCTGGCTGGAAATTGGCAGCTCATTTCCACAGTCAGGCTCAATAAATATAATTGCTGTGAGTACAGGAGGGAGGTGCAGGCTCACTCTCTGCACCTGTGTTGCAGGGCCTGGGGGACTTCACCATCCACACTGTGGAAGTGGACCTGCAGGGCATCTCCATCCGCCAGCCTGGGACAGAGAGTGACTGAGCGGGGCAGCCGGACAGCCGCCAGGAGAGAGAGGGCTGGACTTGCTGACCGTCAGACCCACAGGGAGTGGAAGAGGTGACGGAAAGTGAAGTGTCTTTGCCTGTGGCCTCCAGAAGGATATAATAATGTCACTTTAGTCTGGTTTATATTATTTCACTCTTACCAGTTTTCTTCTATCCTGTAGAATGTGTATCAGAAATGACAGAATGTTGACTTGTCCTTCATGTTCATGAAATGAACCTTGGTTATTACTTTTGGGGCTTAAATTCTACCAGTTTAAATATCTTACATGTGTATTCCAGCCAAAGTAAAAAACATGGAATCTCACAGATGGTAATCCTTTTAGGGTAAATCTGTGCCTCTGTCGCCTAGCAATTGCCTCAGGATACCCTGGGAAAGGATGGGCTTCGTGTATTTTCTGTAACCACAAGGGGTCTCCACTGCTACTGTTTCTGTCAGCTGCTGAAAATAAACACACTACAGCACTACAGCTTGGAAAGAAATAACTTTAATAATAAAAATCATCTGTACAATGTATTATGCTTTCCCATGATCTGTACACCGTCACCAAGCTCTGTTAATCCCATGGCTGTAGTACTCCCTTAGTGTTGCTACAAGATGTCTTTAGTGCCATACAGTGTTCTTTCGTTGCGAATCGAGTGTCCACTCTACACTGCACTTGTCAATGTTAATGTTAATGTTTCTTTATTAGCCCTATACAATTTCTTGCATTAGGAATTCGTCTTTTAGCATACCCCAGCTTTTCTCCATGGAGACACAGACACACAGACAGGGAGAGAAGCTAGGGGTCAGAGGGCAGGGTCAGCCATTGTACAGCTACCCTGGAGCAGTTGGGGTTCAGGGCCTTGCTCAGGGGCCCAACGGAGTAGGATTACTCTGCCAGCCGTGGGATTTGAACCGGCAACCTTCCAGTCACAGGCGCAGATCCTTAGCCAAAGAGCCACCACTCCAACCGACTTCCCAACTGGCAGAGCTAAGCAGCGTCTTCTTTTGAGCCCTTCACTTTTATTAACTATTCACTTCCCCAAATTGTCTCCAATCAAACCCTTCACCCTGTCTCCTAATCCCTACACCCTTTCCATCTTAACTGGAATTGGACAGATGCTCCTGCCCAGCACTCCAGTACCAAGTGTTGTTGTCTCCATGGAGCACAGCCAGGACTCCTGAATCAGGCTTACTTGCACCATGGACATATACAACACAGCTGAGAGTAGAGTGCATAGACTTGGGAAACAGAAGAGCACCTGGTGCTGATCCCAGACAATAAGGAACAAGCACACAGGGTGGCAGGTGGCAAGTGGCAAGAGTAGGGGCACCACTGGAAGAGTAGGGGTGACTAGACACCCCACAGCTGAATCTAAGGTACTGTCTGGGATCACTGATGGCGCTACAGCCTCAGCCTCTTGATGTCCTCGCTGCGGAAGTCAATTCGGAGAGCCAGGACTTGTCGCACCTCCGCTGGGGTCAGACGCCAAGTAAGGGGGCCAGAGTTCGGTCCCCAGTAGTCTAGAATCTCAGTCACCTAGAAAGACAGACACTGGTGAGCTCCAGTACGTCAGAGAAGAGTGTCCCAGGTGGACTACTGGGACAGAGACTGCACTTGACATGCAGACAATGATGGGGAGCAGTGCACTAGAGACACACACATTCCAAAAAACTGACTTTTTTAAGTCAGTGCAACTAATGAGCAGTAATGCCATTTTAAACATGCATTTAAAATAATGATGGATGTATTTTACCAGGATAACCTTTGTCCTGTACTCCTAAACAACATGGTAAGTGGTAGCTTCATAGAGTTACCACCCCACCAGGAGACAGTTCAGGCCCGGGTCCACTGTTTTCTCTGAGCTTGGCCCAAGTTCTGTTCAGGCAGTCAGACACAGAGCCCCAGCTCAGGGAACACGCGGATGGGCAGCTCAGCAGTCCTACCCTCTCCAGGTTGAGGATGGTGGCCATCTGCGTGAGGCGAGCAAACTTGTCCCGGATGGTCCAGGTGGTCACGGTGGTGAGGTAGGCCACCAGAGAACGCAACTCCTTGTCAAACTGCAGCCCACCCAGCTGAGAGAGCAGGACGACATGGATGAGGGGATACAGAAGACCGCACAGAGAATGTGTTAGCAGATTGCACACCGCATTGCACAGGTGTTAAAACAACGTAAGAGCTTGCATAAAACCTGCAGATGTAAAGCTTATCTGATCTCTTAACTGCTGCCCTCCCAGAAATAAATACTGAAAATCTGACATCACACCCAGCTACTCTGCTTGTATGCTCTTGTCCTCCCATTCTATGGTGTTACACAGCCTCTGAATTTTTATTCTTATCTTGCTATTGTTTTGTCTTGCATACATCCTGCTTGAAATTTAATTGAGAGGGCATTGAGATAATGGTCATACAGGGTGCTTCTTTGTGGAGCACCGTGTAGCAGTGCTTCTAAGTGGCATCACTGCTACCTCTCCTGGTATACAAGGGTGGCCAGGAAGGGGGAAGCATAGTGTTTTGGCCACATCGCAGACGCTGCTCTTACCCTGCTGAAGGTGCATTTGAACACAATCTTCTCCAGCTCCAAAGCGATCAGGCTGGTCATCAGGCTGGTTAAGATATCATAGATGACAGGAGACAGGCCGGCCTGCGGGGAGAAAAGGCAAGACTGGGGAAATGCAAATGCAACTGAATTGTGCCAACTCGGAGGAAGGCAGCAAAAGCTTAGGCTCAGCAGTGTTTCTTCTACTTGCCTGGAAAAGCCTCATGTAACATGTTTTCAGCTTGCCCAATCCTGTTAGTTCAGAGTAGCTTTCAATTAAACTAAAAAACAAGCTCACTGTGAGTCTGGGAGATGCCTACCTTAAACTCAGCCATCAGCTGCTCCAGGTTGACCACAAACTGCTGCACCCAGGGGTCATTGGCTTCATACTCATTGAAATCCTCCTGTAGTACACAGACAGCACAGGGCTTTGATTGCACTGGGACTTGATCGTACAGTACAGATAAGCCCACATGTTTGGCATTACATGTGGCATACATAGATCAATACAGTAGAACTGGGAAGTAAAACACACCAGGCACAAATTATAAGCAGTACAGGCTCAATCGAAATGTCAGGTCCTGCGTCTGCACCTGCCCACACAGCAGTCGGTCTGTGTCTCACCACAGCATTTTTGCACGCAGCATGGCAGGTGTCGTGTGAGAGTGCAGAAGATGTACCTCCTCGATATTGTGTGAGATGGACAGGAAGCTGCTGACCCATGGCTTGACCTGGGGTTTGATGGCAGTATTGTTGAGCTCCGTCAGACCCTCCTGCAAACACATTTCAAATCCATTTATCCAAATGGGAAAAACCTCTCAAGGCCCAAGGAAGAAAGCTGATCTCATGCCGATACTGCACTATGGACAGACCGTCCCCACAGTCCCTCCAGAGACTGATTCGCTCTCACCTGCAGGAGATCCTTGAACTTGCTGGACACGCTGACCAGGTCAGACAGACAGCTCTCGATCTTGGCGCGTGCCTGCTCCCCTCCTCCGAAGCCCTGGTTGAACAGTTTGGCACAGTCGTTCTGAAGGGTAAGAGGAAAGAGAGAAGTTCACACTTGGACAGAAAATATAATGCACTGCTCTATGGCCTTGGCATTCTGTCTGGGGAGGGTGTCCAGAACTGAAGCACAACTGGTGGGACTGTAGAACCCTGCTGGACAGGGGGGGTTCTAGAATAAAGACTTCACTCTGCACAGAAGCAGAAGGGTGAAAGTGGAGGCCTCTAGAGAAAGCTGAATTCTCCATTAAACAGGAAAATTAAACATCCCCCCTAACAGTGCATTACATAGCTATGCAACCGGCACATATTCATCCTGTACTGCACGCAGTGAAGAGCCCGTGTGCATCACAAGGGTTAAAGGGGAACGGGACTCCCAGTTTCTCAGACCGGTTACTAAATTCTCTGTAACAAAATAAATTCAGTGACGTTAGTGCAAAATGTGACAAATTCCGAATTATGCAAAAAAATCGTGAACTTTGTGAAAGTACTGTCTTGCCACGGGCGAGAAGGAGAGTTCCCATGAATGGTGACGTGATGCGGCCCTTCCTGCTCACTAGTCACCGTAATGACTAATGTCATGTGATGAACGAGAGAATAAATACAGGTTGGGCACCACAGAAATGTCCAATGTGATCTACATGCAGAGCTAACAGTAAGTAGTATTTGTCAGCAAAACTGTCTCGAAGTCGAGAGCAATAATTCTATTGGATTAAAAGAGATGTATTCACAAGCCTGCTCGTTTAAAATTGTAATGGGGCCGCTTCACCTCACCGGATTAATGATTATTTCTTACACTTATATAGCGCTTTTCTGGACGCTCCACTCAAAGTACTTTACAGGTAATGGGGATCCCCTCCACCACCACCAGTGTGCAGCCCCACCTGGATGATGCGACAGCTACCTAAGTGTGCCAGTTCGCTCCCCACACACCAGCTCTCAGTGAGGACGAGAACAGAGTAATGAAGCTAATTGATAAATGGGGATTATTAGGAGGCCGTGATTGGATAAGGCCAATGGGAAATTCGGCCTTGACGCTGGGTAACTGAAATGCACTCATCAATTCTGATTCTGTCTAATCCTGAAAAATAGCATTGCAGTTCCCCTTTAAGTGCACTGAGATAATCAGACTGGAAGCTAAGTCCCACCTCCAGATTCAGCTTCAGGGTCATGATGTTCTCACTGCACACTTCCACATTGTTGAGGGTCACCTGTGGAGACAGAAAGGTGAAAGGTCTTCCTGAGATGGGAGAGAAGGTTGCTGGAAAATAAGGTCACAGCTGTTTGCCCACGATGAGAGGTATCTCCAAGAGTGTGATAAGAAAGGGACAGCCCACGCTCATTTAAGATCAACCAGGCTTTTGTGGCTTTTATTGCCTTTTGCTGGGGCTGTGTGATGAACGGGTGCCAGGCAGTGAAGGCAGCCTACCAGGAAGGAAGTCTTGGCTTCCTCGCTGCTCTCGATGCCCATGGTGTTGAACTTGCCCTGCTGGAGGCTGCTCTGCATCAGGCTGACCGCGCTGCTCACCCCGCGCTGGATGTCCTGCAGGGTGGTGGCCGGGAAGCCCTGCCGGAGCTTGTTGTACAGCACCTCCCTGTGGACGCAAAGGACAGGGCGAGGAGTAAAGGGTAAGGGCAGCGGGTGATACACAAAGAGTGGACAGAAACAAGGAGACAAAACATCTGCTGGACAGCATTGCTGTAAAAGCACAGCACAGTACAGTTGGACTTGCTGTGCTACAGGTAGTACCAGTCACTACTGGGTATAGCAGCTAATGGAGATTCTTGGCCTCTAGGTCAGTACTGGATCCAGCAGAAGCCGGGAATTTTGCTTGTTACACTAAGGCGTGCAGGGGGCTGAGGACCGGACAGGGCACCTGAAGTCGGACTCGAGGACGGAGGTAGAGTGGTTGATCATGGCACACAGGCAGTCGATGCTGGAGCTGGACAGCGCGCGGCCAATGCACTTCTTCACGATGTAGAAGCAGTCGTCCACCATGCTGGAGGTCAGCTGGCCCTTCTCGTAGGTGTCCATGGCAACTGCCTGCGAGAAACGAGGGGGGGCCGGTGAGGCGGCAGCGTGCGCCGGAGCCAGTGCGATTTTCCATACCTGCCGTCAGCGTTTCGAGTCAGCCTGAAGGGTGCAAGCTGGGGATGTTTATTGGAATTAGCAATGCGATGGGTTGCGTCGCAAGAAGAGTGGGGTTTCAGAATAAACCACCTTTTAGTTATCAAATTCCTTCCTAAATCATAGAGACCGTGCGCCTGATTGTGAAATCTGATTTAAATGCCATCTTAAGATTGATTTTGTGAATCTGTCTATAAAAGTATTTAAATAAATGTTTTTTGTAAAAGCAGCACTCCGGTGGGGTCGAGGCCTGCGATCTCGTGTGCCACCCGCGCGGCTGACCTTGTTGACAGTCTCTCTCATGTAGTACTCCTCCATGGGGATGTAGTAGCCGATCAGCTCCTGCATGTTGCGGCTCAGCAGGCAGTGCTTCAGCAGCTTCTCCAGACTCTGCTGGTGCTCTGGGTCAGAGGGGGGTTTAAGAGGAGAAAGAAACAGTCACACACGGCACTGAGAGACAAGGCTCCACACACCCAGCTACATCCGTATGCAGCGCAGCCTACTCAGGCGCCTTGCAGCTAAGCCAACGCTGCAACAGGCTGCAACAGGCTGCAACAGGCTGCAACAGGCTGCAACAGGCTGCAACAGGCTGCAACAGGCTGCAACAGGCTGCAA